ATAGGGGTTCTAAAGGGTCCTGGAAGGGTCACAGAGGTTCTTAAAGGGTCCTGGAAGGTTCGCATGGGTTCGAAAGGGCTTGGAAGGGGGTCATATGGATTATGAAGGTCCTGGAAGGGTCATATGGATCCTGGGGGTCCCACGGGGGGTCATAGGAGTTCTAAAGGTCCTGGAAGGGCAATAGTGGTTCCGGGGGTCCCCCCACCCACCCTGGGGGCCGTGGGCGATGGTTCTGTTCTCCTCCTGGGGGTCTCCGGGCGCGGCGCCCCCCCCAGGGCCGGGCGGGGGGCGATGCTCCAGGATGCGGCAGCGGTACCAGCAGCGGCGCCGCGCATCGCGGGTGCTCCAGTACAGCCGGCGGCACCTGCGGGCCAGTACGGACCAGTACGGACCAGTACGGACCAGTACGGACCGGTACGGACCGGTACGGACCGGTACGGACCAGTACAGACCGGTACGGACCGGTACGGACCAGTACGGACCAGTACAAACCAGTACGGACCAGTACGGACCAGTACGGACCGGTACGAACCAGTACGGACCAGTACGGACCAGTACGGACCAGTACGAACCAGTACGGACCAGTACGGACCGGTACGGACCGGTACGGACCAGTACAGACCGGTACGGACCGGTATGGACCAGTACGGACCAGTACGGACCAGTACGGACCAGTACAGACCAGTACGGACCGGTACGGACGAGTATGGACCAGTACAGACCAGTACGGACCAGTACGGACCAGTACGGACCGGTACGGACCGGTACGGACCAGTACGGACCAGTACGGACCGGTACGGACCAGTACGGACCGGTACAGACCAGTACGGACCAGTAGGGACAAGTATGGACAAATACGGACCAGTATGGACCGGTACGGATGAGTATGGACCGGTACGGACGGGTACGGACCAGTAGGGACCAGTACGGACCGGTACAGATCAGTACGGACCGGTACGGACCAGTAGGGACCAGTAGGGACCAGTACGGACCAGAACGGACCGGTACGGACCGTTACAGACCAGTAGGGACTAGTAGGGACCAGTAGGGACCGGTACGGACCAGTACGGACCAGTACAGACCAGTACGGACTGGTACGGACGAGTATGGACCAGTACAGACCAGTACGGACCGGTACGGACCAGTACGGACCGGTACGGACCGGTACGGACCGGTACGGACGAGTATGGACCGGTACGGACGGGTACGGACCAGTAGGGACCAGTACGGACCGGTACAGACCAGTACGGACCGGTACGGACCAGTAGGGACCAGTACGGACCGGTACGGACCAGTAGGGACCAGTAGGGACCAGTACGGACTAGTACGGACCGGTACAGACCGTTACGGACCAGTAGGGACCAGTAGGGACCAGTACGGACTGGTACAGACCAGTACAGACTGGTACAGACCAGTACAGACCAGTACGGACTGGTACGGACCAGTACAGACCGGTACAGACTGGTACGGACCAGTACGGACCAGTATGGATGAGTATGGACCGGTACGGACGGGTATGGACCAGTACGGACCAGTACGGACCGGTACAGACCAGTACGGACCGGTACGGACCAGTACAGACCGGTATGGACCAGTACGGATTAGTACAGACCAGTACGAACCGGTACGGACTGGTACAGACCAGTACAGACTGGTACAGACCAGTACAGACCAGTACGGACTGGTACGGACCAGTACAGACCGGTACGGACTGGTACGGACTGGTATGGACCAGTACAGACCGGTACGGACCGGTATGGACCAGTACGGACCAGTACGGACCGGTACGGACCGGTACGGACCAGTACAGACCAGTACGGACCGGTACGGACGAGTATGGACCAGTATGGACCAGTCAGACCAGTATGGACCAATACAGACCAGTCAGACCAGTATGGACAGTTATAGACCAGTATGGACCAGTATGGGCCAATATGGACCACTACAGACCAGTCAGACCAGTATGGGCCAGTAAGAACCAGTACAGACCAGTATGGACCAGCATGGATCAGTCAGACCAGTACGGACCAGTACCAGCAAGTACAGGCCAGTATGGACCAGTATAGACCAGTCAGACCAGGATGGACCATTACGGACCAGTATGGACCAGTCAGACCAGTACAAAGCAGTCAGATCAGTATGGACCAGTATGGACCAGTCAGACCAGTACAGACCAGTACCGACAAGAATGGACCAGTCAGACCAGTATGGACCAGTACAAACCAGTACAAACCAGTCAGACCAGTATGGACCACTATGGACCAGTCAGACCAGTGCAGACCAGTATGGACCAGTCCCTCCCAGTATGGACCCCTACTGCCTCCCAGTCCATCCCAGTATGGCCCAGCGCCCCCAGTATGGATCCATACTGCCTCCCAGTCCATCCCAGTATAGCCCAGTCCCTCCCAGTATGGCCCAGTATCCCCAGTATGGACCCCTACTGCCTCCCAGTCCACCCCAACATGGACCAGTCCCTCCCAGTACGGACCTCTACTGCCTCCCAGTCCACTCCAATATGGACCAGTGCCTCCCAGTTTGGACCAGTCCCTCCCAGTATGGACCCCTACTGCCTCCCAGTCCCTCCCAGTATGGCCCAGTGCCTTCCAGTATGGACCAGTCCCTCCCAGTATGGACCTCTACTGCCTCCCAGTCCCTCCCAGTACGGACCAGCGCCCCCAGTATGGATCCATACTGCCTCCCAGTCCCTCCCAGTATGGCCCAGTCCCTCCCAGTATGGACCCCTACTGCCTCCCAGTGCCTCCCAGTGCCTCCCAGTGCTCCCAGTGCCCCCAGTTCCCGGCACTCACTGGTACCCCACAGGGTAGAGCCGCCCGCCGCACTCCGACAGCTCAGTCAGCGCCCCCAGGCTGTCGATGCGGATGGAGCCTGTGGGGGGAGCGGGGGGTGGGCTGCCCCATAGCGACCCATAGCGACCCACAGAGACCCATAGCGACCCACAGAGACCCACAGAGACCCATAGCGACCCATAGCGACCCATAGAGACCCACAGAGACCCATAGAGACCCATAGGGACCCATAGCGACCCATAGACACCCACAGAGACCCATAGCGACCCATAGAGACCCACAGAGACCCATAGGGACCCATAGAGACCCATAGAGACCCCATAAAAAAACCCCATAGAAACCTCATATTGACCCCATAAAGAGACCCCAGAGACCCCATAGAGACCCCATAATAGAGAAACCTATAGAGACCCCATAAAGAAACCCCACAGAAACCCCATAGTGACCCCATAAAGAAACCCGAAACCCCATAGAGACCCATAGAGATCCCATAAAGACCCCATAGAGAGATCCTATAGACCCCATAGAGAGACCCCATAAAGAGACCCCACTGAGACCCACAGAGACCCCATATAGTGACCCCATAAAGAGACCCCAGAGAGACCCCACAGAAACCCCATAGAGAGACCTATAGAGACCCCATAAAGAAACCCCATAGAGGCCCCATAGAGACCCATAGAGACCCCATAGGGAGACCCCAGAACGACCCCATAGAGCCCCACAGAGAGACCCCATAGAGATCCCATAGAGAGACCCCAAATCCCCCCTGGTCCCCCCCCCTCTGCCCCATAGCAGCCTTATAGTGCCCCTATAACCCCCCTATAGCACCCCAAATCCCC